TTCGATTCTTCAATTCCTCAAATTTTTTAAATTATAGTTTTCTTAATTTTTTATTTTCCGATTTCCCAATTTTCCGATATTTCAGTTTAAGGATTTTTTAATTTTTCAACTTTCAGCGTTTCTAAATTTTCGATTTCTCGAATTTTCATTGTTTAGATTTCTGGATGTTTCAGTTTTTGGATTTCTCAATTTTTCGATTTTTCAGTTTTGGGATTTTTCAATGCTTCTTCAATTTTACAATGTTTCGATTTTCCTCTGTAGAGTGGGAATGGCATGGAAACTAATATAATCTAGGCTGTAAAAATGTAAAAAAACTCAAATTGTAACTTTTTTGTTGTAGTATTTGCTTTAAGATTTATTTCAGAAGGAAAAAAAAATTAGAGAACGGGTGGGTGGGCGGGGCTAAGCTAATCTTTTTTCTACAGAGTTTCTAAGCAAGCAACCATTTTAAAGTTTAATGTTGTGGAAAGAAGTGTACACATATTAAAAAAATAATAATAAAATATAAGCCCCGCCCACCCGCCCTATCTCCATTGTAATGATTTTTTTATTCGCCGTGAACAAAGGGGGTGGAGCTTAACTGCAAAACACTTATTTCTTTACAAGAAATTAAAAACATGTATTGTGTTGTTCAAAGAATACTATGTATTTTAAGAATAAAAGGCAAATATAAACCCCGCCCACCCACCCCATCTCATTTGTAATGATTTTTTTTTATTCACCGTGAACCAAGAGGGTGGAGCTTAACTGCAAAATACTTATTTCTTTTAAAAAATTAAAAACATGTTTTTGAGTATCGTGTTGTTCAAAGAATTGTATGTATATTAAGGAAAAAAGACACAATATATCATCTGGATTTTGCAATTAAGCTCCGCCCCTAGGTCTGCCAACGATTGGTTGGGTTTAATTTTTTCTTAATATACATAATATTCTTTAAACAACACGATACTCAAAAACAAGTTTTTTATTTTTATTAGGGAAATAAGATTTTTGCAATTAACCTTCGCCCCCTTGGCTCACGACGAATAAAAAAATCATCACAATTGAGATAGGGCGGGTGGGCGGGGCTTATATTTTGCCTTTTTAGCTAATATGTGTAGTCGTCTTTTCATAACAAGAAACTTAAAACATGTTTAAAATGGTAAATTTGTATAAGGAGATATCTATTTTGCAATTAAACTCCGCCCCTGGGTCTGACAACGAATGAAAAATTCATCACGACTGAGATCAAGATGAAAGGGTGGGGCTTCTCTTTTGGTTTTCTTTTTTAAATAATACATTTAGTTTTCTTTGTATAACACGATTACTTGAGAACATATTTCACATGGTAATTTGTCATAGAAAAATAAGGATGTCACAATTAAGCTCCGCCCCTCGGCTTACGACGAATAAAAAAATCATCAGAATAGATACGGCGGGTGAGCGGGGCTTATATTTTGCCTTTTTTTTTTCTTAATATACATAGCCATCTTTTGACAATAAGAAATTTAGGGCATGGTTAAAATGTTTACATTTTTGCAAAGAAATATGGATTTTGCAATTATGGCGCGGAGCCTGATTGCGAAATCGAAATTTCCTTATACAAATTTACCATTTTAAACATATTTGAAGTTTCATGTTGCGAAAAGAAGTCTTCACATAATTATTAAAACAAAAAGCCAAAATGTAAGCCCGCCCACCCGCCCTATCTCAATTGTGATGATTTTTTTTGTTCGCCGTAAACAAAGGGGGCGGAGCTTAACTGCAAAATACTTATTTCTTTACAAGAAATTAAAAACATCTTCTTGAGTATCGTGTTGTTCAAAGAATACTATGTACATTAAGAAAAAAAAGGCAAAATCTAAGCCCCGCCCACCCACCCTGTCTCCATTGTGATAATTTTTTTATTCTTATAAACTTAAAACATGTTTAAAATGGTAAATTTTGTAAGGAAATATGGATTTTGCAATTGATTAAAACTTTATTACTATTTAAGTCAGGGCAGGTATGGATTGGATTTAATTTTTGCCCACAAAATTTGGTAGTCCTGTATCTCTTGACGACTTTTTAATTTTGTAAAGTCATGTTTTTCTGGAGTCAAAAATCACTCAGTTTCTATTTTAAATTGATTTTATCTTTTCAGAACAAGAAACTTAAAACATGGTTAAAGTGGGACATTTTTGCAAGGAAATATGGATTTTAAAGTTTGGAGAGGAGCCCAATTAAAAGATCGATATTTCCTTATACAAATCTTCCATTTTTATGTTTTAAGTTTCATGTTGTGAAAATAAGTCTACACATCTAAGAAAAAAAAGGCACAATATAAGCCCCGCCCACCCGCCCTATTTCTATTGTGATGATTTTTTTATTCGCCGTGAACCAAAGGGGTGGAACTTAACTGCAAAATACTTATTTCTTTACAAGAAATTAAAAACATGTTTTTAAGTGTCGTGTTGTTCAAAGAATACTATGTACATTAGGAAAACAAAAAGACAAAATATAAGCCCCGCCCACCCACCCCATTTCAATTGTGATGATTTTTTTTATTCTTAGAAACTTAAAACATGTTTAAAGTGGTGAATTTTTGTAAAGAAATATGGATTTTAAAGTTTGGGGCGGAGCCTAATTGAAAAATCGATATTTCCTTATACAAATTTTCCATTTTTATGTTTTAAGTTTCTTGTTGTGAAAAGAAGTCTACACATCTAAGACAAAAACGCAAAATGTAAGCCCCGCCCACCCGCCCTATCTCCATTGTGATGATTTTTTTATTCGCCGTGAACCAAGGGGGCGGAGCTTAACTGCAAAATACTTATTTCCTTACAAGAAATTAAAACATGTTTTTGAATATCGTGTTGTTCAAAGAATATTATGTACATTAAGAAAAAAAAGGCAAAATATAAAATTCAAAAAGCTTGATTGTGTTTGATTTTAGAAATTCAAAAAAATCGAAAATTTCGAAGTTTAAAATAGCAACTTAAATGGGAAACTTGATATAACTTTTTTTTAGAACAACATGGTTCAAATTGTTAAGAAAAATATAAAATTTTTGTCAGGATGTGGTCGATTTTTGGAAACGCCGAAAATTAAAAAAAAACTAGATGTAAAAGGTTTTCTATTTTAAAATTACAGTTTATTAAATTGTAACTCTGGTTGGTCTAAAGAAATACTGGATGAATTTATAAACATTTTTTATTTCTAGATTTTGAAACAAAATCCCGAGTTGTGTTGTGAACAAATGGCTATGTATATTAAGAAAAAAAAGGCAAAACATAAGCCCCGCCCACCCGCCCTATCTCCATTGTGATGATTTTTTTATTCGCCGTGAACCAAAGGGGTGGAGCTTAACTGCAAAATACTTATTTTTTACAAGAAATTAAAAACATGCTTTTGAGTGTCGTGTTGTTCAAAGAATACTATGTACATTAAGAAAAAAAAAGACAAAATATAAGCCCCGCCCACCCACCCCATTTCAATTGTGATGATTTTTTTATTCTTAGAAACTTAAAACATGTTTAAAGTGGTGAATTTTTGTAAAGAAATATGGATTTTGCAATTAGGCTCCGCCCCTAGGTGTGCCAACGAATAAAAACTTTATTACTATTTAAATCAGGGCAGGTATGGGTTGGCTTTAATTTTTTCTTAATACATTATAGTCTTTGACCAACACGATACTTAAAACATGTTTTTTATTTTTTGTAGGGAAATAAAAATTTTGCAATTAACCTCCACTCCCTTGGCTCACAACGAATAAAAGAATCATCACAATCGAGATAGGGTGGGTGGGCGGGGCTTATATTTTGCTTCGTTTCTTAATATACGTAGTCGTCTTTTCAAACAAGAAACTGAAACCATGTTTAAAATGGGAAATTCTTCTGGACAAATATGGATCTTGCATTTAAGCCCCGCCCCTCGATCTGACAACGAATGAAAAATTCATCACAATTGAGATTAAGATCGGGGCGGCTCTGGGTGGGGCGTAATCTTTGGCTTTATTTTTTTCTTAATACACATACTATTCTTTGAAGAACACGATACTCAAAAACTTGTTTTTTATTTCTCGTAGAGAAATAAGGATTTTGCAGCTAAGCTCCGCCCCGTTGAGATAGGGTGGGTGGGCGGGGCTACAATTTGCCTTTTTTTTTTCTAAACATGTGTAGACTTATTTCGACAACAAGAAACTTAAAACATGTCTAAAATGGTAAATTTTCAACAACAAGTTTATAAATCTCACTTTAATCAACGTAGACAACGGGCGGAATGTTAAAAAATGTCCACAAATCTATGACATTTTCGGCGTACAGTGACATCTAAAGGATTATTATAATTAAAAACCTAAGTAGACTCATTCATTTGTAAACGTTCTTATGAGACTGCATTATTAAAAAAAAAATATGAAGAAAACGAGCGCAGCGAGCACATTTTGGTTTTATTACAACAATTGGTCTAAAGTCGTCTCTACAGTAAAGGATATTTCAACTTGGTAAAATTCTGTGCTTGTATTTGTGGTTTATGAATCCATCTTGATTTTGTTTATTGTTATTATAATTTTTCTTGTTTAATTCTTCCTCTATATTTTTAGTTATTTGTGTTATTTAAAGGGACAATAAAATTGTAGTCTGGTTGGTCTTGTATGTGTTACATTAAGCCGTATTTGTACCTCACTTGAGTCTACACCGGTCGTTTTAAATTTATTACTGGAAAGATCCAGATCAATTTCTATTTTCATCAGGTTTCCATTAGGCTGTAATGAATGAACGTCTTTAACCATCCTTGGCATTAAAGTGTTGCATTAGAAATCTAATGGTACAAGATCTAGTGTCAGCACTGGAAAAAAATATTTACGATCTTCATAAAGTTTCTATAAAACTGCTATAAAATTAAAATACAATTTAATAAACTACATTGTTCTATATACGCCGTAATTTTATTCCCACTTAATGTCAACACAATGCGTAAAATTTGAAAAATAGTTGATCAATTATAACTTTATTAGTTGACATTATTATAAAACAACGCAAAACAGCTGATAATCGGTTGTTTATTTATGATATCGGCACTCTAGTACATCACAATTACAATAACAATCACATCATTTTGGAACAGGTTCACTTCTACGTTCTAAACGTAACTAAAATATCAAGCATCAAAACAGGAAAGGTACATTTGTAATGACTTTGACAACAACTAGATTGGTCAGTATTGTATCGGCACACCCTGTATACTCCTAGCCTAAACATTTTTTTTACTGATTTATTACTATTATTATTAACTTAAGTAACCGCCAGAATCCTCTCAATATCCTCCAACGTCCTCTTCTTCGTCTCAGGAACCGCCACCTTCAAAAACCCCACCGCCCCCACCATCACCAGCGCGAAAAACCAGAACGCGTAATGCGTCCCTACCGAATCAACAAACAGCGGAAACGTCTTCGTGATCACAAACGTACACCCCCAGTTGAACGCCGCCGCCATGGAGGCGGCAGAGCCTCGAATCGCCGCCGGCAACACCTCCCCCATCATCAACCACGGAATGGGCCCCAACCCGAACGAAAACCCCAGCACGTAGACAATAAAACACGACAGTGGCAGCCACTCCACCGCCCGGAGGTCGCTCCCCCTCACCTTCAAGAGGTAGAAGTACAACCCCAGCACCCCCAGCATGGTCGCCATGGTCACGCAGGACGCGTACATCAGGATTTTGCGACCGAGACGGTCCACCAGGACCGCGGCTATAAAAGTCGAGACGAAGTTGACAATTCCGATGATGGCCGTGCAGAAGGAGGCGTCCATGGACGACCCCGACTCCTCGAAGATCTGGGTGGTGTAGAAGAGCACGGCGTTGATGCCGCTGAACTGCTGGAAGAACATCAAGCCGAGCACGATGGAGAAGGCGCGGAAGTGGGGTCTGGTGCACTTGACGGTGTTGCGGGGGTTTTGGACGCGTTGGAGGTCCTCGAGCTCTTTGGAGATGTTGCAGGATTTGGAGCGCAGCCACTGGAGGGAGGTTCGGGCGTGGCGGACTTTGCCTTTGGAGAGGTACCATCTGGGGGTTTCGGGGATGAGCCAGACTACTGTGAGGAAGGGGAGTGTGAAGAGGATGCCGATGGCGGCGAGCTGGCGCCACTCGAAGATGTTCCCCGAGACGAAGCAGATGAGGATGCCGAAGTTGCCGAAAGTCGTGGGGAAGAGCCCCAGGCGACCGCGGATTGAGGGTTGGAGGGTTTCGGCTAGGTACACCGGGAGGGCGAAGCTGGTGATGCCGACGCTGTAACCGTTGAGGATGCGGCTGAGGTACATGGTCCAGTAATTATGGGCGAGGTAGTTGATGGACCATGCGACGACGAAGATGATGTCGGTTAGAATGAGGGTTTTCTTGCGACCGAAGAACTCGACGAAGGGTCCTCCGGAGAGGCTGCCAACGAGAGCTCCGACTGGTAGCAAACTGAAGATCCAGCTGGTTTCGCTTTTGGTAATATTTAATTCTTGCACCATGGTGGATTCGGCGGGGGAGGAATAGGCAGAGGCGTAGCCCACCACGATGGACAACCATGAAACGATGGTAGTAGCGAGGAGCTGCGGGAGGACATGGGAGTGTCTTTTATCACGCACTGGGAAGTTTTCTTCCAGAAGCTTACTCATCCTAGAGTCGTGTACTCATTTCTGGGCTTGGAGGGTGTACGACCATGGTTGCCCATTGCGCTAAAACAGAACCCACAATCAGTTTCATGGTAGAACCAGAATGATTAATTCATGACCTTTTTAATAACACCATCAACTGTCAACTAGCTCCGTGTTTGCCCTTCAGATACGTTAAATTCCCCCGACAAGTGTTTCTATTCCCTAGACCGGTTTTTTGTTTCTTTTACTTTTCCCTAATTGCTACACCTGGGGAGCAACTGGCGTTAAAATGTCATTGTGTGCGAAGACGCGATGTCAAAGCAAACTGTCGTCCGGTTGATGGATTATCAAAAAAAAATTGCGTTGTGGTTAAAATGTGGTGTTGTTTAAATGGGGGTCGTTGAACTGTTTAGCGAGCATCAATGGGCGAATTGGTGGTTTTACGTGTTGGCTGTATTGATTGGGCGTAATTTTGTTGATAAAGATGGTGTGACATGACAGGGCTTATGTTTATCGAGTTTGCTGTGTAATTTTTACTTTCTGAGCAACACAGTAAATTTCTTTGTTTTTTTTTTAATAAAATAAAATATCCCTGCAGTTGAGGTGTTTAGTTTTCACCCTAGTCATTATTCGTTTATCCCCTACCAAAAAATTGATGACGTCATCTCAAAATTTTGCCTATAAATCCTCTCCGAAATATTATGACTTTATACTTGTGGTATATTAATGCACACGTAATTTTTAGAATTACTTATACAGGGTGATTAAAAAAAATTAATGAATGCGGCAGTTTATTTTATAAATTAAATCAAAAACGACTCAGTACATTTTCCCGAAAATTTGGAATTCATTTATAGTTTTTCGAAAAATCTGGACCAATTTTTTGATATCACAATTTTTCGCTTTTTTAGTTTCTTTCTTTTCTCAATTTTTCCGTTTTTCAATGTTTGAGTTTCATAATTTTTCCTTTTTTCAACTTTAATTTTTTCAATTTTTCGTTTCTTCAGGTTATCCAGTTCTTGATTTTTAATTTTCATTTTTACAATTTTTTAATTTTCATCTTTTCGATTTTATAATTTTTCGTTTAATCGTTTTCAGTTTTTCAATCTTTGATATTTCAATTCCTAGCTTTCCTAAATTTTAAATTTTCCAATTTCGCAATTTTTGAATTTCTCGATTTTCTGATTTCTTTAATTTTCAATATTTCGATTTTATAATATTGCTATTTTCGATTTTGCACTTCTTCGATGTCTAAGTTTCTCAATTTTTGATTTTTTGATTATTCAATTTTTCGTTTTTTTAATTTTTCGAATTTTTGATTTCCCATTTTAGGATGTTCAAAGTTTTCATTTTATATTTTTGGGATTTTTCCCTTTTGGTTTTAAATCAAAAGTTTAAAATTCGAATAATTGAAAAAAAGAAAAACTTAAAAATTGGAAACATTGAAAAATCGAAAACGTGAAAAATGAAAAATTTCAAAATCGAAAAAGTGAAAAATCGAAAAACTGAAGAAACGAAAAATTGAAACACTGAAAAACTAAAATCAAGAAACTTGGATTTTATAATTTTTTGTTTAATCGATTTTTTCAATTATCAATCTTTGATATTTCAATCCTAGTTTTCCAATTTTGCAATTTTTGAATTTCTCGATTTTCCGATTTCTTTAGTTTTCAATAATTGGATTTTATAATATTTCTATTTTCGATTTTGCACTTCTTGGATGTTTAAGTTTCTCAATTTTGATTATTCGATTGATCAATTTTTCAAGTTTTTGATTTCCCATTTTTAGATTTTCAAAGTTTTCACTTTATATTTTTCTTTTTTTCAATTTTAAAAAAGTTTAAAATTAGAAACATTGAAAAATCGAAAACATGAAAAAATAAAAAATTTCAAAATCGAAAAATTAAAATCGAAGGACTGAAGAAACGAAAAATTGAAACACAAAAAGAAACTTAGAAATCAAAAAAATTAATGAATGGAAAAATTGAAAAATCCAAATATTAAAATATTTCATAATGAAAAATAACAAAATTATGAAAACAGAATACTGAAAATCTGAAAAATCGAGAAAATAACGAAAATAAAAGGGGAATCGAAAATTTTCAAATTGAAAAACTAAAGAAATTGAGAAATTGAAAAATTAAAGATTGAAAACTCATGAAACTGCAAACCGAAAAGTCGAAAAATCTAAAAACTGAAACATCCAAATATTGAAAGATGGAAAAACTGAAAAATTTTCGGAATGAAAACTCGAAAAGTCACATGTCGTAAAATTGAAGAAACAAAAAAAAGATAAACAGAAATTGAAAAATTGAAGAAACTAAAAACTGAAAAAAATAAAATTAAATATACAAATAGTTATAACATCGAAATCCTGAAAAATTGAATAACTCGAAAAATAAGGAAAATAAAAAACCGAAACGAAAAATTGCAAATGGAAAATTTGAAGAAATGAAAAATTTAAGAAGTACAAACATATCGCAATTTTTCGTTGTTTCATTTTCCTTATTTTTTCGGTTTTTCTCTCAATTTTATAATTTTTCCTTTAATCGTTTTTAATTCTTCCATCTTTGATATTTGAATTCCTAGCTTTCCCAAATTTTAAATTTTCCAATTTCACAATTTTTGAATTTCTCGATTTTCTGATTTCTTTAATTTTCAATATTTCGATTTTATAATACATATTGCGTTTTTCGATCTTGCACTTCTTCGATTTTCAGTTTCTCAATTTTTGATTTTTCGATTGTTCAGTTTTTCGTTTTTTCAATTTTTTGATTTCCCATTTTAAGATTTTCAAAGTTTTCATTTTATATTTTTGGTTTTTTCATTTTTCCCTTTTTGTTTTAAATCAAAAGTTTAAAATTCGAATAATTGAAAAAAAGAAAAACTAAAAAATTGGAAACATTGAAAAATCGAAAACGTGAAAAATGAAAAATTTCAAAATCGAAAAAGTGAAAAATCGAAAAATTGAAAATCGAAAAACTGAAGAAACGAAAAATCGAAACATTGAAAAACTAAAATCAAGAAACTTGGATTTTATAATTTTTTGTTTAATCGATTTTTTAAGTCATCAATCTTTGATATTTCAATTTCTAGTTTTCCTAAATTTTAAATTTTCCAATTTTGCAATTTTTTAATTTCTCGATTTTCCGATTTCTTTGATTTTCAATGGTTGGATTTTATAATATTTCTATTTTTGATTTTGCACTTCTTGGATGGTTTCGTTTCTTCAATTTTTCAAGTTTTTGATTTCCCATTTTTAGATTTTCAAAGTTTTCATTTAATTTTTTCTTTTTTTCATTTTTTATTTTTCACTTTTACAGTTTTTCCTTTTTTTTTTATTCAAAAGTTTAAAATTTGAAACATTGAAAAATCGAAAACGTGAGAAAATGAAAAATTTCAAAATCGAGAAAATGAAAAATCGAAAAATTAAAACTGAAGAACTGAAGAAACGAAAAATTGAAACACAAAAATTAAAATTCAAGAAACTTAAAAATCAAAAAAATTAATGCATGGAAAATTTGAAAAATCCAAATATTGAAAAATAAGAAAATTATAAAAACAGAATACTGAAAATTTGAAAAATTGAGAAAATAACGAAATTAAAAAACGAAAACGAAAATTTTCAAATTGAAAAACTAAAGAACTGAAAATTGAGAAATTGAAAAATTAAAGATTTTTTCGATTAAAGATCCAAATATTGAAAGATCGAAAAACTGAAAAATTTTAGAATGAAAACTTGAAAAGTTGCATGTCGTAAAATTGAAGAAACAAAAAAAAGATAAACTGAAATTGAAAAATTGAACAAACTAAAAACTGAAAAAATTAAAATTAAATATACAAATACATAATTACAACATCGAAATTATGAAAAATTGAATAACTCGAAAAATAAGAAAAGTAAAAAACAGAAACGAAAAATTGCAAATGGAAAATTTGAAGAAATGAAAAATTTAAGAAGTACATGTGGTTTATCAATTTACTCACTGTTTTTAGAATTACTTATACAGGGTGACTCAAAAAAATGATACATTTTAAGTTTTAGTTCAAGTTTTTTTTTTATTTTTTCTTTTTTTGATTTTTCAGTTCCTCGAATTTTGATAGTCCATTTTTCAAATTTTTGTTTCTTCTATTTTTGGAGTTTTCTATTTTATATTGTCAATTTTTTGTTTTCCAACTTAATAATTTTTGAATTTTTGATATTTTTGATTTTTCGTTTTTTAGTTTTCCATTTTTCAGTGTTTCGGTTTCATAAGTTTTTCTTTTACGTTCATTTTCTAATTTTTTCAAGTTCTCAATTTCAACATTTTAAAATTTTCGTTTATTCAGTTTTTCAAATTTTCCAGTTTTACAATTTTTCGATGTTACAATTTTTTGATTCAGTTTCCCTATTTTTAATGTTTCGATTTTTCAATTCGTTCCTCAATTTTTTAAGTTCTTAGTTTTTATTTTTCATTTTCTCGATTTTTTAATTTTTTTTTCTTTATTTTGTATCACAATTTTTCGTTTTTCAATTTTTTTATTTTTTTATATCTTTCGATTTTTCGTTTATTTTGTTCTTTAAATTTTCGATGTTCGATTTTTTAGTTTCTCGGTTTTCCAATTTTTAAATTTTTTCGATTTTACAATATTTCGTTTGTTTAATTTTTTAGTTTCTCAATTGCTCGATTTTCAATTCTTCGTTTTCTCAATTTTTCAAGTTCTTGATTTTTATTTTTTATTTTCCCGATTTTTTCATTTTCACTCGATTTTATATCACAATTTTTCATTTTTTTATTTCCTTTATTTTTTCAGTGTTTCTTTCGATTTCATAATCAAAAAATGGTCAATTTTGCAATTTTTCGATTTCTCGAGTTTTCGATTTCCTTAATTTTCAATATTTCGCATTTACAATATTTCGTTTTATCGATTTTGCATTTTTCGATTCTTCAATTTTTCAAGTTCCTGATTCCAAATTTTTTCGTTTCTTCATTTCTGATTTTTGAATTTTATAATGTAGCAATTTTCCCATTTTCTCGAATCGAAAACTTGAACAATCGAAAAATTATACAATCAAAATATGGAAAAATCACAAAAATCGA